GATGGATGACAACAAAAATTAGATGAATGTTGGCTACAAAATTACATGCTCTATTACATGTCTTGGATTCCATCAATGTCTCTCCAAAATCAAAAATCATGTCCGAGGGATCAAAAATTGGATACATAATGTAGATTTTTATCTTTGAACTTTGAAGGGAGCTTAGTTTCATTATATCCTTCAAGTGTTAGAGAAGGGAATGCACAGATTTGGAATGAAAACCTCCCAACCACTGTTCCAAGGTTGAATACTTGCCATAAAATATTAACATGAAGTTCCATCTGTTCCAAAAAGACATGTCAAACAAAATAAATTAAGAAAATCTCAACCCAGCAGTATCAACGCAAAAACAGACACAAATATTTCCCCTTTTCCCCTTTCCATCCACCAGACTTACTCAACGACTTCAACAGTCATACCCTGGTCTTCCATACGCTTGATAAGGCCTGTATTCATGAAGGCTACTCCTGGAGTTAAGACTCCACCCCTGCAACAAAAAAATTGAAAGGCTTATTTCACAATTTTGTAAATACCATATACTAAACATTGAATTTACAAAAAGTAAAATGTATTTCTTTTAAAAAATTATCATTTTCACTTTCTTTCTCCATCATAGTAATAATAGTAGCAATAATGATAACAATAATAATAAAAATAATAATAATAATAATAAAAATAATAATGATAATAATAATAATAAAAATAATAATTATAATAGTAATAACAGTAATAACAATAACAATAACAATAAAATGACAATGATAATGGCGATGGTGAAGACAATTATGATGATGATGATGATTACAATAATAATAATGATAATGATAATAATAATGACAATAAAAACGACTACAAAAACAACAACAGCAACAATAATACTAATGATGATGATAATAATAAAAAAAAGAATAAAAATAATAAAACATTACATATATATATATATATATATATATATATCTATAACAATAACAACAAAGCCTTAGGCCTATACTCACTTGCCAGGAATGGAGCTTTTTTCCCGCAAAATGGTCATGGCGCTGGCAACCATCATGAGTGACGTTGCCCCGTAACCTGGGTCTGGTCCCGATACCTGAAAAGAAAACAGGCTTTAAGTGAAAATGCGTCCTACGCCCTAATTCCTTGAATAGAGAAAATATGATATTACTGTGATCACTGAGCTTTATCTTGCTTTCTTATCTTTCCGACAATAATTGTTTTCCCTTTAAAGGATCGAAGAAAGATAAATTTTCCTGCTTATCAATCATTAACTTTGAAAAATTAAAGGCATAGAATTCAGAATAAGTTTTGTAGTATATCATCATCCTTACTAAAAAAAAAAAAAATCAATAACTAATAATACTAATATAATATAATAATAATAATAATAATAATAATAATAATAATAATAATAATAATAATAATAACAATAACAATAATAACAATAACAATAAAAATAACAATAATAATAACAATAATAATAACAACAACAACAACAACAACAACAATAATAATAATAATAATAATAATAATAATAATAATAATAATAATAATAATAATAATAATAATAATAATAATAATAATAATAATAATGATAATAATAATAATAATGATAATAACAATGATTATAATAATAAACTTAAAAAATAAATAAATAAATATATATATATATATATATATATATATATATATATATATCAATATCACTATTACAACATTGACTCTTCTTTATTATCACCTATATGTATCTGTAACATCACTTATGATTAACTGTCCTCTTACTATCAAGAAAACAGTAAATATCTATGGTTACGTGGGTTAGCTAAAGTAATAAATATCTTCAAACTGAAAGCTAATTTATGTTGATATATATGCAAATTATTTTTTCTATCTCTCTCCTTCTTTATTTTTAAAGATGAAAGGTTAAAAAAAATGTCATAAAAAGACTATCCTCAATAGTACATTCACTTAAAGGCAAAGTCAAAATTGGTCCTATATCCAAGCATATATGAGATATGTCCATAGAGAAATGTTTGTACTAAGCCATGGGTTGATGCAGGAGGTTAACAAAACATTTTCTATGCTAAATTTTACCTCAGCACATTAATCTTAGCATATCAGTACTCATCCACAGACAAGCAAAATAAGAGTGATGACAGGCACGAACCCAGGACCTTGTGATTACAAAGACAATACTATGGTGCCATTATCTATTTATTAAGCTTAATATAAAAACAGCAATATTGGTCTTACCTTTACTTTAATTGAAGCATTTGGAGGCTCTGTATGCTGATCTGACCCATCCAGTAGTGATTCTGACCAGCCATGGCCTACTAGAGTGGCTGTGAATCTAAGAGCTTTGAGTGACTCTCGGTCTGATCCTGCACGGCTGAACACACCTGCTGTCATAACTTCAGGGTACTGAAAAAACAACAACAATGTAGAAAATACATGAGTGTAGGCTGAGTACTTATAACATTCTATGCTTATTTGGTCTCCAAAT